TGTTTTTCTGCATGTATTGTTCTCTCCCGTCTTTCTTTTGCACATGAACTGAAGTGAGGTTTTATGATCAGGCGTCGTCCAGGACTTACAAACCACCGCTGCAGCTCGCATTTCAGGCTTCTTCTCTTTTAGTTCACATTCAGTTCAACAATGTGCAAAAGAGAAAAAAAGCTCTTTTGTGAAATGAACCTGAGCTGCACCGTGTCTCATGGCGTCCTGGCAGGTTTAATCCACGCTCTCAGCTTCATGCTATGCCTCCAGCTGCTCCTGGTTAACGGCGGCCTGTCACTGCAGCAGCCTAACCCACATCTGTGTTGTTGTTTCAGCTGTGTCGGTGCCGGACCTGAGCGAGCAGTTCACGCCGCCGGAGACGGCTCCCCCGGCCCTCGTCGGCCTGATCCAAGCCATAGAGAGGAGAGGTACGTCCCTGGGAACCGGTCGACGGCTTATCTGCCGTCTGCCTCACCATCTTTCCGTCTACGTGCGACTGTCTCCGACTTCCACGCCAGCGTTTGCACAAGTGCAGACTTACAGGCGAGCCGCACTGTTCTCATGACTTCATGCACATTCACGGCTTCGGCTCATTCTGACTCGTCGTCACTCTGGAGCTCCCGTGTTTAGGTTTAATGTGATGTAGGTCCGAGCAGTGAGCGTCCTGCACAGTGGGTCTGATTCACACCGTCTTATGAACAAACAGCTCAGCGGGACTCCATTCACAGTTTCTCTCTGTCTTTTTACTTTCTGTCTGCCGTCTCATTCACAAACTGTTTAATGCCCAGACGTTAGTTAGAAATACAGGTTTCTAGGTCTGTAAGCGACTTGCTGTGGTTCAGATGATCCATTTACCGTCACGTCAGGCAAAGAGAAGCATTAAGTCAGAACAGTGGAGCAGCAGAAACTGGAACGTTTTGGTATTTCTGCTTTAAAACTGACAGATTACAGATATTCAGATAGTTGCAGGTACATCTTCAGTTAATTATTTGACTGATGGTTTGAGTTCACCTGTAGACACATGCGCAGAGAGCGACCTTCACTGTATGCAATATATAACATTTCATCTTTTGTGCATTTCAGAATGTCCTGGCTTTGCAATTAGTGCACAAAAAATCCTAATAATACAATAAGCCTTCTGTTTAAAACACCACAGCAGCTCTCCCACGACCTCTTACTTTATGTTTTTGCGTTTGCAGTGCGGTGCAGTGATGTTGGCATTAAAAAAAATTTAAATAATGTCATTAAAAAGTGTGTTTCTGTGCTCAGGAGCTTCATTTACCTTCAGTTACTTTAAGGTTTCACCACAAACCCAAACTCAGCGTTTGTGTGTAGTTTGGAGTAAGGACACAGCTTTTCATCTCTTCATGAAGTTATTGTCACTTACTAAATCTCTGAGGCTAGTTTTGAGGAGTTAAATGAATAAAAACTGGGACTAAAGTCATTAGTTTTCTGGCTCTATGTGCACATTATCAGCTACTCTAACGAACCATCTGTGTTCCTTACACCACATACCAGCTTTCAGTTGACAGAAACTATTTTGTTTGTGCACATATTCAGATCTTGGTGTGTCTAGCGGGCCTGTCTCTGGATGTAGAGAGCAGAATGTCACAGGAGTATTGAATTACCTCTGGGTGTTGGATCTACACTCTGACTGCACGGTGTGGTTTTCACAGCTACCTGAGAGACCGGCTCGTCTCTAGGAACTGCCTCCTCAACGCACACCGTCTAGACAAAGTGTTTCTGAAAGCACTTCTTACAGTCTGGGACTAATGTGGAGCTAACCGGAGTTAAAATCTCTCCTTTATTTTTAAACTGACGGCTCCACGTGCAGAGATTAGCTTTCTGTTGTTCAGAGTCACTACATGAATCTTTATTTTCCACCAAGTAAAGAACAAACCAACAGGAAACACGGGTTCTGTTGAAGGACCAGCCGATTGAGTACTGAATGGAAACAGCATGAAACTGGAAGTTGTTTTGGGAAATTAATATTTCCCAAAGAGCTGCAGGTGTCTCGGTGGTTAGCACCGTTAGCACCGTTAGCGCCGTGGCCTCACAGCTAGAAGATCGCCGGTTGGCGTCCCGGTGAGGACACCCGGGATCTTTCTGCGTGGAGTCTCCATGTTCTCCCTGTGCAGCGTGGGTTCTCTCCGGGTTCTCCGGCTTCCTCCCACAGTCCAGAAACATGCTGAGGTTAATTGGTGATTCTAAATTGTCCGTAGGTGTGAATGTGAGTGTGCTTGGTTGTCTGTCTCTAAGTGTGGCCCTGTGATAGACTGGTTACCTGTCCAGGTGAACCTGCCTTCACCCTGAGTCAGCTGGGATAGGCTCCGTCCCCCCATGACCCTAACAAGGATGAAGGTGTAGAGATGATGGATGGAATATTTCCCAATTGAATATCTGATCATGTGCTTCTTCACACACAAGTTAGATGTCCTGTCTGCTGCTGCTGCTGTTGTTGTTGTTGTTGTTGTTGTTGTTGTTGTTATCCGACAGCAGTGAGACTCTTTAATGCTTCAGTCTGAGCACATGTGCACATTTCTGCATCTCTCTTTCATATTCGGGTAAATTTAGTTGACTTTCTTCTGTATTATGTTTTCTATATTTTCATCTTACTTTGCCTCCATTGTGTACCCTAATGTTCTGTGCTGTCTCGTTTACCCCCTTCGTTGAATCGTCCTGCTGCTGGAATACCTGAGTGGGATTAATAAAGTCAGTCTGAGTCTACATGTGTGTTTGTGGGTTAAATGGTGCTGTCTGTCTCATCATCTTCTACGTTATTAGATCTGCTCTGCTGCCGTCTGTGACCTTTACCTCCTGCTTGTGTCTCTCAGGTCTGGACTGTAAGTGGCTGTACCGGTCAGTCGGCTCCGCAGACAGCCCGGCCTACGGCCTGAGCTCCGGTCAGTCCAGTTCCCTCACATGCATCTCTTTTAATAAATGATCAGCATCACTTATTTTGTCAAACTGAATTCCAGAAAGTCCAGTGAACACGTCTGAGTTGTTTTGTCAGCCTGCATGCTTCTTCAGTCACCTTTCTGAGCCATATTCCTGTTGAGTGAAGCTGAGCAGCAGTCCTCTACTGATTCAGCCGGTTTGATTCAGAGCCTGGTCTCTGAAGGATCTCACGTTTCTGTGTGAGCTCCAGGCCTCCAGCTAGTTATCTGTATTATTAATGAATCCATATATGACAAAAACACAGCAGCAGATCCTGATGTCTGAGAAGCAGAAAGCAGAGAACATTTGGCCTTGTTGATGTTCTGTCAACAGACTAATCAGTTACTCAGCGGATCACTACAGCTCCATTGAGAGTATAAACCTTTTACTTCCTCTTTTATTTAAATGAGGACGGGATAAATGCCGTCACAGCCTGGTTCAGATTCCTCAGCAGGTGGTTGTTTGACTTTGCTGGGATTTCTTCCTGTAGTAAATGAGCTGTGTTTGTGGTGCAGAGAGCGACGTGGGTCAGAGGGATGTCGGCTACCTGTCTGAGAGCGTCCTGCACTACCTGAGAGACCTGCCGTCACCAGTCATCCCTCCCTGCATCTACCCACACCTGCAGACTGCTGTGATGCAGCAGCAGGTCCTGCAGCAGTCGACAGGTAGGCCCAGTCCTGCACGGAGGAGCTTCAGTGTGTTTACCTGTTTATATCACACTGGTTACGCACAGTTCATCTATATGTGGATCTATTTGCATTTGCACTGTTTATTATTATTATTGTTGTTGTTGTTATATCTTTATTTTCTATATCTTTTACATATATAAATACATACATCTCTATCTTGTCTATATCCTCAGGTTTATGTTCTACGTCTGCACTATTCTTTGTTTTATATGCGTGTTTATGCTTGTGTTTGCACTGTTTCTCTGTGCTGCTGACAACGTGAATCTCTCCACCGTGAGATAAATAAATATCTTATCTTAGCTTAAAGTGGAGCCTTTTATCAACATTTATCCACCATTTTTCTCTGATGAGAAAAGTCCGTCATCTTTTATTCTGTTTTTTTTTTTTATCCATAATGGTTTGTTTATGGCAGAAGTTTATCACAGATTCTGTACGTTACGGCCGGCCATCTTCCAAACACACCCTCCTGTTTTACATTAACTAGCAGCGTCCTAGTGGGCTCAGGTTCTGATCGGACAGCATGAAGAGCAACACGAGAACCTGAAACTCGTTTAAAACAGTCCGTTCATGAGAGTCAACATTTTTCAGTCCGTGATGAATTATTCATTCCAGGACAGATTCAAGTCTCTGCAGGTTGATGCTCTTACATTTCTAGCATTGGGTTAAACCAGCAGAGCCCTGAACTCTGCAGAAATGCATGCATCAGTGTCAAAACCAGCAGAACGCTCTGGAAGATAATCTGCAGTACTGTGACGCACATGCAGTCTGCAGTTAGTGGGCTACAACACGCATGGCCACTAATATTTAAAACACTGTCTTCAGTCTCTGAAGTCTGCTGACAGCTGTAGATCTGGTACCAGTCACATGACAGAGTATAGCCCACGTGGGCATACTTTTAACTTGTTTTATGTGTTTGGACTCAATTGTGTGGTAACGTGCAAAATATTTTAAAAAACAGAGTGATGAGGAGAATTCCTGCAGTGTGGGTGAGCAGCACCGGTCCTAAGATGAACTGTAGGCTGCTGATGTTGTCGTAGTGCACAGAAAGGCTCCTTTCAATGAGCCAGTGATTGTAATGCAAGTAGAAGAAGGACTGGGCTGGGCCTTGTGTGCTGCTGATGGAGTCCAGCCTCATGTCAGGAGAGGACAGGCTGCCTGAGGCATGTTGGAAAGGCTTCAGCTGATTCACCTCCTCACAAAGGACGGCGTCATTTCATCTCAGACATATATTTGACCTAATTACAGCGCTGACCGCCTGCGTTTCACCCTCCTGAAAAACACCATCATCGACTTACGGATCAAAGATGCTCCTCAGATTCCCGCCGTTCGGCCAAATCTGATAAACTGCACATAATTCTCTTTGTATAACTACATGCGGATTCTGTTCACGGCTGTTTGAATCCCTCCTCCAGACGGAGCGGTCGCTGGTAGCTGTGACAGAGAGGTGAGCTTGGTCCTGGAGAGTTCCACCGCCGTCCCCCTCCACCACCGCCTCACCCTGCAGTACCTCCTCACTCACCTGGCCAAGGTGGCCCAGGCTCAGGCCAGCAACGACCTGGACACGCACACGCTGGGGAAGATCTTCGGCCCGCTGCTGGTCCGGACGGGCCCCTCCACCCCTTGGTACGCTGGTTTTGCTCTCCAAACAGATGAACATGGTGTGAAGCTGAAGTGCTGATGCAGGTGTCAGATCTTGTCTTTTCTCCAGGCTTTAGGCTGCTGGTAGTTCATCAGACTCTGGAGTGTATTAAACGTCTGAAATGATGAGCTCATTCTAACTTGACTGATGGATCGATTGGCAGGTTGCCGTCAGATGAGGAGTTCCCTGCCTTGGTGGTGGAGAGGCTGCTGATAGAGAGGACCACAGAGCACAACCTCACTCCTCCAGGTGAGCTGCTTTATCTCTGACACCACTGAGATCAACTCCCTCAGTACAGAACCCTTTTGCTGGTGATGTTTGGGTGTTTATGGGTGTCTGTGTCGTCTTCCAGTTCTCCCAGCGAAGCCAGTCAAGTCCAAAATGACGCCGGCGGCCATGACGGACACGAGCAGCCTGCTGAACGACGCAGAGTGGTACTGGGGGGAAATTTCCAGGTAAGTTGTTCAGTGACAAGCTCACTGTTCTGGGGGGGATTCAGCATTTCATCTTGGCTCATTCTGTTTTTATTATATTAAAAGTATTTGGTTGAAAGGCGTCAGTCTCCGGTACCAGCTGCTGCCATCAGGTTAGCTAAATGCTAGGATGGCCTGAAGGTACACATGAAACAGCTGAACATGATCAGTGAGGTTGTAATTATCACCGTTAGTGCTAATAATGGAAATATGCTGCTGTGTTTGCAGAGAGGAGGTGAATGAGAAGCTGCGAGACACTCCAGACGGGACCTTCCTGGTGCGAGACGCCTCCAGCAAACTGGAGGGCGAGTACACGCTCACCCTCAGGTAAAGCCACACCTCTGCTTCCCTCACTGAACATCTGCACATCTGCTACGGGTGACGCGTGATTCACACAGTCAGCGTGCATGGCCGTGCATTACTTCCTGCGACGCTCACTTGCCGCCTGTCTCCCCCTGCAGGAAAGGAGGGAACAACAAGCTGATCAAGATTTACCACCGAGACGGGCGCTACGGTTTCTCAGAGCCGCTGACCTTCCTGTCTGTGGTGGAGCTCATCAATCACTACCGCCACGAGTCCCTGGCCCAGTACAACGCCAAGCTGGACACCAAGCTCCTGTACCCCATCTCCAAGTACCAGCAGGTTGGTCAGGCGTCTGTTGGTTTCAGGATGAGTCTTCATATTCACATCACAAGCTGTGTGTCATTCAGTTCAGTCACAACGTGGCTCTGCAGGCCTCCTTTCATCTAGAAACCATTATGACATTATAAATAAATCCATCAGTAAGTCCGATCTGCTTCAGTGCTTCACTCATCACAGCGGGGTTTTATTCTGATCTCCTCTTTGTCTGGCTCAGCTGGTGAAGGAAAACAGCATAGAGGAGGTGGGAGAGCAGCTGAAGGTGTACCATGAGCAGTACCAGGAGAAGAACCGCGAGTACGACTCCCTGTACGAGGAGTATACGCGCACCTCACAGGTAGGAATTCTGTACACACAGACAGCTACAGAAACAGGTCAGCGTTAACACATCCAGCCTGTCTTGAGGGTGAAATGGATGATCAGCATGACTCCAAAGGAAACATCTAGTTAGACCCAGTGTAAATTACTGTGTTGTAGAATATGACCCATCAGATGAAAATGTGAAGCTTGAAGGTGTGAATGTCTACCATGTGAGGTTAGAAGCAGCTCTGATATGTGACTGAAGTACCATTTAGAAAATCCTCCTCTGCACAGGATGTATTATCTATTAAAACCGGAGTAGTTTACCTTTAGCTGTCAGAGGAAGCTCCACCTTCGTCAGCTTTAAGAGACGATGTAGGACACGGCTGATCAACAGTCAAGCGTGTAAACGCTGAGAACGTCAGCCACTTCACCGACATGCACATTAGGGCAGGTATAACGCAGTCTGACTCACTCTTACTGTCTGTGTTCTACTGTTGTTGTTTTTATTTATTATTCTTTTCTTTTTTCTCTGCTCTTGTATACGTTTGTATCCACGTGTGTTGTTCTTTCATGTGTGCGGGACACCGGATGGAAATCAGCCTCGTGCTAAACCCGGCATATTTACTGCAACCTGAGACTGTGTTCTCATTAATACGTGCTGTCCCGTCCAGACAGACAAATAAATAAAAATGAAATAAAAGTCAGAATAAATGAAACATCAGATAAACAGTCTGTCTCGCTGCCTCCTCCCTACAGGAGCTGCAGATGAAGCGCACAGCCATCGAGGCCTTCAACGAGACCATCAAGATCTTTGAGGAGCAGTGTGAGACCCAGGAGCGCTACAGCAGAGAGTCTCTGGAGAGGTTCCAGCGCGAGGGCAACGAAAAGGAAATCCAAAAGTAAGACTGTGAGACCAGTAAACGGAGCCCGGCTGCTCAGTCAGAGCAGAACTTATACATTTGTAAATGTCCCAAACCAGGATCCAGACCAACTCAGAGCGGCTGAAGTCTCGCGTGAAGGAGATCCATGACAGCAAGCGGAAGCTGGAGCAGGACTTAAGGCAACAGGTGTCTGACAACAGAGAGATCGACAAGAAGATGAACAGCCTGAAGCCGGATCTCATCCAGCTGCGCAAGATCAGAGACCAGTACCTGATGTAAGCACAGTGAAATCCAGAAGTTCAAAACCTTTAGTTCACGTAACACACTCCATGAACGTACGTCTGCACATTCACTCATGATGCATTCAAACCTTTTCAGATGGTTGACACAGAAGGGAACGAGGCAGAAGAAGATCAACGAGTGGCTGGGCATCAAGAACGACGCAGATGAGTAAGTCTGAGAACGTCATGACCGGACCCTGCAGCAGCTCTGGCAGGACCGGTCCGGCTCAGTGTTCTGTTCATGCTGTGACATGGCTGCATTGTTTTGTGTGTGTTCAGCTCCTACTCGCTGGAGGAGGACGAGGGCTCGCCCCACCACGATGAGTGTACCTGGTACGTGGGCGACATCAAGCGCACCGAGGCCGAGAACATGCTGAGAGGGAAATGCGATGGAACCTTTCTCATCCGCGAGAGCCAATCGCAGAAGGGCTCCTACGCCTGTTCAGTGGTGTGAGTTTGAGTTCCTTTTCTGTCTCACATTAAATAAAGTCACAGTGGTGATGGAGGCTGTTCTATTCCTTTAGTCACTGGTACCCCTTTTCCACCAAACTGGTTCCAGTGCTGGTCCCGAGCTGGGTCCTGACTCAGCACCAGTTCTTTGTGTTTCCACTGGGGGCGGGGCTATCGTGACCTCCAAGACTGATGGATGGGGCACACAAGAGGTGATTAGTGTGGTTTTTCACCAGGACGTCTCAATCACAGATGTACTGGAATGAGTCCCGGGACACAGGGAAGTTCTGCACAAACTGTTGCGCTGAAGTCCAGTCCAACTGTGTCTCAGCAGCAGCACCACATTAGTGGAGAACAGGACTGTTAGAACTTCAGTATTTAGCTTAGAAATGAGGTGTTCTGGTGACAAACGGAGCAGCTACATGCTGTTTGTTCTGCTCATAGAAAAGACCGCATGAGAACAGATCACTGGGCTTCATCCTGGACAGATGTGACACCAGAACCTCCTGGTTCACTCTGTTAAATCATCTCCGGTCTGAGCACCGCGGCCACCAGCAGCAGCTAGCGCAGCCTGCTATGTGGGGCGTTCAGGGACCATCGTAAACTGTAGAGTCTATGGATGAGAACATGTTCAGCAGGTCAGATGTTTCTCCTGTGACCAGATGAGAAAGTTGGTCACATCAGTAGCAAAGTCCGTCTGGAGTCCTGTGTGGACTCCGTGTGGCGCCAGCACTGTTCGGTAAACGGCTCCGTATGCAGTGGCGTACGACTCTGACTGGGCTCCTGGCTGATGGAAAAGCAACCAGTTCTGACGAGGTGCCAGATGTGAACCAGCTAAGTTCTGGAACCAGCACCTAGTTCTTCTTGGTGGAGAAGGGGGACCTGATGAGCTTTTAAAGACCATATACAGTACCAACTCTTCACATTATTATTTTTTGCGTCAGATCTTTGGCTCTGTAGAGAATCAGTGTCTATGAGAAGAACTCTGTCTGTGAATAAACGGCAGCATCAGGTGGTTCGGTTCAGCACACAGACTGGACTTCAGGAAGAAAAACAGCCAACCTAGCTCCATCCGAAGGTCACAAAACCTGCCCAGCAACAGCTCTCAAGATGACTTATTAAAACATTACGCCTTGCCTGTTTAATGATTCACACAACCCAGAGTGTAACGGGGAAGAAGGTGATTCAGCAGACGTTCTACTACGTTCTTCAGCAGAGAACAGCTCATGTTCTCTCTCCACAGGCGCACAAACCAGCAGCTGCAGTCAGCTTTTATTCTGGGAGACGTAGTTCGTGTAGATGTGTACAGTGTGAGTCTACTCAGTGAATAATCCCAGAACGTTCAGGGCTTCTGTGACTGATCTCTGTCCTTCTTCTCAGTGTGGAGGGCGACACCAAGCACTGCGTCATCTACAAGACGGCCACCGGCTTCGGCTTCGCTGAGCCCTACAACCTGTACTCGTCCCTCAAAGACCTGGTGCTCCATTACAAGAACGTCTCCTTGGTCCAACACAACGACCAGCTGAATGTAAATCTGGCCTACCCAGTCCTGGCCCGCTCTCAGAACCAGAACCAGCACCCCAGATGAGTTCTCCACCAGCAGTGCAGGACGCCAGCCGGGGTGGGAAACGAGACTTTCACTCATATGCATTGGGAACCAATAATCCCCTGGACAACGCTTGCTTGTGTGTTTAGAAGTGGCAGGTAGAACAGACTCCTGGAAGCCGGTGTCGATTCCCCACACCGACCCGGTCCTCGCTCACAGCATGGCTTCATCATAAACACACGACTACTGATAACGAAGCGCCGTACAGTTAGCCTGGCTGGTGCACTGGCTTCAGCCTGGACGAGGGTTGCATCAGCCAGACGTGACTGTACAGCGTCAGTTATGGACAAACAGTGTGAGGATACGCAAGAACATGCATTTGATACAGAGAAGACAAAAACAACTGACTAAAGACTAAATAAGCACACAGAAATCTATTTTTCAAGCTTGTGGGGCAGAAGCGGAGCAACCAGATGGTGGGATGATGGAGAACTTACAGGAGGCACTTTTGTTTTTTTGCCTTGAACATGAGATAAATGTGCAGACAAAGGCCCGATCTGTCGTCCCAGACTGCCTGCAAACTCTCCACAGACAAAAGCCTGAGCTGTCATCCGCTGAAAGGACCGGCTTGGCTGAACCCGGCTGCTTGCTTCGCACCTACCGGCGGCTGAGAAACAGCGGCCTGGAGGGGGGACGGGGAGGTTGATGTTTTAGGGGTTTTTAAAAGAGGAATTCAGTCGAAAGCTTGCTGAAGTGCCATAGTAAAAGCTTTGAATGACCACACGCTGTGTCGCTGGAGGAACGGGCCACGCCGCGATTCAGAGGAGGACGGATCGGACGGCTGCAGACGTAGACGAAGCTACAGCTTTAAAAGATATATATACACATAGGTATATTTTTAATGAAACGATCTTTATTTCCGACCGCTCCGGCTTGTTGCGCTGTCAGCGGGTCTCCTTTTGAACTGACGAGGTACGCCGTGCAGCAGATGCTGTGCGACAGGATCAACATGCATGGTACACGTGTGGTGCGTTGTGAACACAGGATTTAATCACAACCCACCAGATGGACCGGTACACACGATTCAGGTTTCCTCCTTCATGTGGAGTGACTCCTGCATCAGACGTGTCTTTGTTTTAAACTCCTATTTTCATGCTCTTTAATACTGTAGCACCTGTAGCCATCGACTTCAGGCACTGTTAGCGCTCCTCCTGTGTGTCTGCTCTCTATACGCTGAAGGCACTCGCAGAGCATCGATCTATGTGGTTATCGTATCCTGGGTACTGTATTTGCTTCATCTCTACTTAGACTAGACTGTTTCGTGGTACAGTGTCCTTGCAGATGTTTATCGTTGTTATTTTTATGCAGATTTATTCGCGGTACTTCTTCTTCTCCTCCTTCGCGCTAGACTGTTGGTTTCATCACAGGCTTGACTCACAGAGCTGTAGAGCATTGTTGTACAAAACAGAGCAGTAATATCAGTCCTGTACAGTATGCTTCAGACACACATGCAGACGGTGTGCGTGACTCGATGCGGTTCCATCACTGTGTTTCTTTACGTTGTCAGAATACTCGCTGTGCTTTTAGATTCTGTTCCAGGATGCAGCGTATCGCCTGATGTGAGCCAGATGAAGGACGCGTTGTCTGTAGCAAGGAAGAAGAAAAGGAGCAGTCCATTAGCCATCCAGCAAGGCCTCCGCAGTCTGAGAGATTATCCCGTTCAGCGTGCATGGACTCCTTCATTTGGCTGCTCGTTTAGTGGTTGGACGTTGTGCTCCTCATAGTGCGCAGACAGCACGGTGTGGTCCTACTGTACACAGCAGTGTGTGATCAGGGTTAGATGTACAGATCAGTTCCTCCGTCTGCTCTGCGCTGTGGCACTATCATCTCCTCTTTATTACTGTGTTCATTTGGCTTGAGCTGAAGATTGTACCGCCTTCTGTTCAGCGTCACTGTCGGAGCACAGGAGGCACGTGTTGGGTTGTTAGCGTGAGAGGAGGCGTCGCCTGATGCTGCTTTTAAATCACACCGGTGGTTTCTTGAGATGAAAAAGAAACTTAAATGATCTCTCAGATTTCTTACTTCTATCAGACTGAGAATGCCAAAAAGCCATTTTTGTAGGAGAATAAAGAACAGCTGGACGTCTTTCGAGGTCGTGCGTTTGGTGTTTTGGACCTGCTTTGATTCTTGTTGTTGAGGGACAGAAGCTGAACTTCACATCCACTGACTCCTCCGGTCAAAAAGATCAGCTCTGAGCTAACATCAAGGTCGACCTGAGGACCTTCAACAGACACGAGTTGTTCTGTTTCGCATCATTTCTCCTTCAGAAACGTTAGATATCAGGTAGCAGCAGACCAACCCCGTCTCTCCTGAACCCCGACCTGAACATTTAAATCAGGACATCGTGTTGGTTTCTCATCAGGACCAATCAGTCGTCCTGTACTTTGCACAGTTCTTGGCAGGTAGACGATCCCAAGAGTCAACCCAGAGGTGACCACGGTGCTTCTGACCAGAGGGCTACAAAACACGAGAACGATTAGAAGTGCCTTCAGTCATCATGATGAGCTCGTCATCTCCATCAGATGATGCCGCCGCCACATGTCGGGCCTGTAGGTCACACATTTGCCGGTTCCCACCAACAGAAGGGTGTCTGGCGAACCGTGGTCCTGTGAGGTGTGATGATGAGATGTTGCTCCTCCTCTCCATGGTGGCTGTACAGTCGCTCGGTGCTCTCTCCGTGCACCGAGCTCGCTTTGTTTGTTTGTTTGTTTATTTGTTGACATGTTTTTGAATAAAGCTCAGATAGAAATGTGAACAGAACTCATCCGTGACCCAGACCAGTTGTTTGAAGCTCAGCTGATGCATGCAGCGTTTCTCAGTGTTTCCTATTAAGTCTGTTCCTCCGTGAACGTCCGGTCGAGTCGTCCGCCGCCGCCGCTTCCAGTCTGTTGGACCAACACTTTTCAACTGCACTTTTTTTCCCTGTCCACTCGAGCTTGTGCATCGCCCAACGAGCATAACGCCCCAGACAGTGGTGACGCTCGGTGGTCTGTAGTTTCTGGTTCTTCGTGCTGTGGGAGTAGACGGTGTTCAGTACCTGCTTCTGTTGTTACGCAGTCAGCAGCTGTCTGGTCAATCCTCTGACTGACTGTTCGCATCATAGAGCTGGTTTACTGTGTGGACCGGAGGAGCTCTGGAGGACTTTTTCTGAACCAGTTTTAAGGAGGGCTGCTGGCTCGTTATGCAATTAGTGTCCACACAGCAAACCTGTCCACCTTAACGTGGTGAGTTTTCCTCTAAGATCCAGTCACTGAAGGACTTTTCCCTGGTGGTGTCTGAACATGCAGAGCTGAGAGTTCACGGTGAGGTTCTGAATCACCAGGAAGTGATCTGAATAGCACAAACCCAGTTCCACCGTACTCGGCTGGTGACGCACACCAGACATCTCAAAACCGAAGAAAGTGAAACTCCATGCATGACTGAATGCCACGGGGCGGTAGGCTAAATAATGTTGGGGTTTTTTTAGGGGAATTTGGGCAGACGATGGAAAAAAACACCCTGATGGAGCAAAACCAGTTCATCAGGTCAACTCGTCTGTTCTTTAAGTTCATCTATGAGCTGGTTCTGCTTCCATCTGCTCCACTTTCTACTCGCTTCTCTTCCTGCGTCACTTGTTAAGATGAACACTTGAGCAGTGCACACATTCTTCTGCCATGCATGTTCCTCACAGATGTTTAACAGGTGGAGGCGACGCTGGGAGGAAGGTCAGTGAGACGAGCACACGGTGAAGACTTTATTGTGCTTTGACTCGAGTTGAAGCTTTCATCCTGTTCATGTCTTAGATATGCATCTTGAAAAACGTGTTTTCTATACGACAGATGATGATTTAAGGAGTGCAGTATTTTTTCATCCTTCTTTGGTACACTGTAAATGATATTTCTTGAAACGGCCGAACACACAAAGCACATCTTTCACTGACTAAAGAAACGCGTATATTTGGTGTCTATTGAGGTTTGAAGAACGAGAGACGAACTAGAGAATAAATATTTTCAGATATATACGTAGATATCTATATTTTTGGATGATTAATTCTGATTTGGATTGTGCTTGAAACCAATCAGAAGGAGGCTTTGATGTGACCTTTTGCTTCATGGCTGCTTCCAGCAGTCACTGAAACGCCGGCATTTCTACGAATAATCCGCTTCACCACAACCACCGACAGACTTCGTGGCTGCAGACGTACACGTTGTGTGTTTAGCGTAATGATCAGGTGCATTCAGAGGATGAAGCGAGCTGGTGTACATGTGTGTATATTACAGAGCTGAGTCTATATGTTCACGCAGTCTTGGCTGCTTTGCATTTATTAAATATTAGAAAAGAGTTTTTTTTTGTTTTTGTTTTATTGAGAATCTGTTTTGTCATTTGGAAGATTCTGGTTTCTGTGAGTATAGGCAGTGTTAACAGTTGCACCACAAAAGATCCACTGGACGCCGCCGCAGAGGTCCGCCGCCGCCCGCTGGGTCGCTGGGTCGCTGGGTCTCTGGGTGCCGCAGGTTGTCAGGCCGACACCGAACTGGTGGTGGTCACTCCTGAACACAGGTCTCTGAACTATGATGGCATTAGGAAGTGATCTTTTATGGTGCCTGAGTATAATTTGTTTTTTTTTTTATTTGGCTTTTTAAAAAAGCTGACAAATTTGTCCAAGTGTTTTTGTTTGTTTATATCTGTTAATGATAACCTTTCAGAGCCTATAAAGAAAAAATAAGCTAGCTTGAATTTTTTTTCCTCCATACAGAAAAAAAACAAATACAAATGTTTACAACATGTAATTAACCAAATAGCAACGATGCGTTTGAGAATCAGTCTGTCTGTCCCTCAGAGCGACTGCATAGATTGATGATATTCTTTATTTCCTGTCATTTTAAACTTGAAGATGTTACGACTGCTTGTTCTGTTTCCTCCTCTTTGCTCCTCTCTTCTTTTGTACTCGTCAAAACAGTGCTCCCTCACTTTCACAGTAATAAGTCGATCAGACGGTTGATAGGATCCGTTAGCCCCGACCTGCTGACTACTCCGCCTCACACTGAGCCTTGTTTGTGCTGAATCCTAACCTGAGACCCTGTTGAATCTCATGCTGTTTCTTTTGACGCCCGGTTGGG